GTAAACGCCATCTGTAGTACGATGCTACATTTTAGGATTACGTATGCTCCAACAAGGTCCATTTAAATATATGGATATCTACTTGCTGAAACGAATCCCGGCGTAGCTAACCTCAACGTGATAGGCACGTTACCATAATCGAATAAAATAATTCGAAGTGGTCTGTATTTTGTCGAAATTATTATTATTATTATTGTTTTTACCTTCGTAAGTTATTTCGGGTTTATACCCATCGTTATCTGCCGTATAAGTGACTATCTGTTTTCGACCATCTGGTAACAACACATTATATTCACCAGTTGCAACGTCACCATCCCTTGATTCACTGTGACCGAATTGAGCACCACTTTCTGGATCATTAACTTCATAAGAAAACTCGTATTTTGCTGGTTCCTAAAATGATCGATTTATACATACTGCTAGCACGTTAATTTTTCATTTGTAATATTATTACTTCTTCTCCATATCCCCCACCGTTTCCATTTTGACCTGGTGGCCCGTAGGATTGAGAAGGTCTTCCATTTCCTCCATTTCCATTGGAAGGTGATCCATAAGTTGAACTTGGTGTACCACCATTAAAGCCATTCGAGCTACCATGAAAACCATTGCCTCCGTTACCATTTCGTGGTGCACCATACAGTCCACTGACACCATTTTGACCGCCATTAGGAGCTCCGTAAGTAGCTCCTGGCACTCTTCCTCCTCCATTGCCATTGCCATTACCATTACCATTACCATTTTGCCCTCTTCCAGGTTCTCCGTAGGTAGATGAAGGCGCCCCTTTAGAGGAAAATAGATAAAATCCTAATATTTTGAAAAAATGATAACTTGTTTAATATCTTTACCTCCATGATTACCATTTCCATTATTTCTTCTTCCATTTGATGGGGCTCCATATGATGAACTAGGAGGTCCACCATTTCCTCCTCCGATTCCTGTCAGGGGTGTAAAATATGAAATAAAATGAATATAATAAAAAAGTTTGATTTACCTGAATCGTAACCATTTCCGTTTCCCTGGTTATTTGGAGCACCATATTCTAAGCCAGGTGGACCACCAAAACCACCGTTACCATTTCCGTGACCATTTTGTCCATTTCCTAAAGAATGAGAACATACTATAAAGGAATAATGCTGTTATTCCAAGAGGGTGGTTACTTCTCCATAATTATACACAGAGTTAATTTAATGTAATTAAGAAAACAACTTACTCTGGTTTGATGGCGGCAAATACGAATTTACTGGAGGCTCCGCTACCAAAAGTTGTATTGAAGATGATATCAAAAACAAAAATATCTGCAAGTAAAGAAAAATTAATTAAGTTTTTAAAATTAAAATGAAGTACTGTCCTAGAGTCATTGAAATAATTATATTTGATCTCAAAAATTTCTACTACAAGTCATTTCGTTCTCTACAAAATTGTTTCAAGAGTCAACTTTATAAACTCTACAGTTCTTAAAATATAAGTCTTCACAATCAAAAATGGGCCATCTGTACGGCTGAATTATGACATTCAAGAGAATTTTAATGCAATAAAAAATACCTTTAACATTACGGAGGGTGGATTTTGGTTACTGGAGATGTAATGGACACAGCAGTCACAAGGGTATGACAATTTTAACGTTGACTATTTGACGATTTTGGTTCGAATGATACAATTGTGGCTTCTTCACATTTATATACTTTTAAGATCGTGATGTATTAATACATATGCAAGTAAATGTATATCTGCCGTTTGCCTTTTATTAAAACCGTGTCTTTCGCCAAGAGCTGCCGCATCTTTCCCATTTTTACGATAACTAGCGCGCGTCGCATTGCTTTTTTAAGAACGTATAAAATATTGCACATCAATGAAAAGTGATCTAATCTACCATGGATGTAATGGGTACTTGGGCACTTCTACATATACAGAAGATTCAAGAGGTAAGGTAATTGTATTTTGCAATTGCTGCTGTAATCTGCTCGCTTTTATGTCGTATGTATAAGACCAAAGATTTATTAAAACGAGTCTTTCGTGTTAAAATCATGAGAACACTGNGATTTTTTGGACCTGTGCGTGGGATTTTTTCCTGTAGTAGGTTGGCAACAGTGTTTGGAACCAATCTAGTTTATCTGATCAGGTTCAAATGTTTTAAGGCGTTACATATCTTATTCGGCCCTAATCTGATAATCTGATCGCCAAATGACATAACTAGAGATGTGCAAAACGGTTTTTTAAAAGTATTTAAATACAAAAGGCACATTTTTGATTTGCTTCTACATATACAGAAGATTCAAGAGGTAAGGTAATTGTATTTTGCAATTGCTGCTGTAATCTGCTCGCTTTTATGTCGTATGTATAAGACCAAAGATTTATTAAAACGAGTCTTTCGTGTTAAAATCATGAGAACACTGTTACATTTCCATATGAATCACTTCATATTCTTCTTATTGTTAGATAAATACCTAAGTAAATCTTGGAATTAAATTACATATTAGTCGAAATGAATAATATTGTATTTCCAAGGGTCCAGAATTTTGAGAAAGGGAAGTCCCCAAAAATTACTACTCTTTTTAGGGATTTTCATTTGTGGAAAATGCACATGTTTTTCCTGTCTACGTAAATAAATCGATTGATTTTGTATATTCTAGTTATCACCGATACAAAATAAATTGCCTAATGGACATGATTGAATCAATCTTCTATGGATCTTTGATTTACATGCGTCATTTTTGTGGTCATGTTGCGTATGAACTTTGAAACAATAATCTTGTGTTAAGTAAATCGTGTCAGGTGTAACTAAAAATTGATCGATTCTAGCAAAAAAAATTGAAAAAGTATTTTTCATAAACAACTTACCTCAGATATAATTAACTAAAGTTATGTGATTTATTTGTAATACTTGCATTTAAAATGCTAATATAAAATAAAAAGTACCTATATTTATCCTGTATTTAATTACTTTATTGGGAAAAGCATTTTGTATTTTATTTAAAATACTTTTCCAAACGTGATATAAATTGATGATGACATTGGCCATTGAAGATATTGGAAGCTTAAAAAGATGACAAAGAGACATTCCATGAATACCTTCTAATTCTTTAACTGAAGAGAGCCCAAAAAATTCTAAACTCCTTGGAAATGGGTAATCTAAAATATTGGATCGATATTGTTTTCCAGGTTCAATGTGATGGTCCATGGAATGTTGAAGTCACAAATTGATATTAGCACCTGCTAAATCACCTTTAGCAAGGGACTACGAAATTCTATGAATTATGACAAAACAGCCCGCAACCCGCAAAATATCAAGTTGGTATACGCCAGCTGCGTAAACCTAAAAACTACAAGATATTGTGGTGTGCTTATAAATGCGTATAATCCAATATTCTTAGAAAAAGATTCGAAAAACTTGGCTTATTAGATGAACCCAAACCTAAAGAAACTATGGATTCCCACAATATAAAATGATTGACGTTCATTTTACACTAATAAAATTATTTGCAACCCTATTTTGGCTCTGATCTTTCATGGTAAACAAACAATTTTGGCATTAGTGTCTTCTTTCCAATTATAACCGGTAACAAAGGTAAATAAAGAAGCATATAGAAGAATTATTTGTTGCTGAACTGAAGAAACTATAACATAAAGATAGAAAAACTATATTTCAATCAATTCAAACAGAAAAATATGAATCATATCAATCTTCGCAGCTGGTGATGTAATGCAAACACTACTACTAGTCTAGAAAAACTCCAATATTTAAAAAATGAGCAAATGTCTGCAA